GGCAGCAAAAAAAAACTGACGTACTAATAACGGATTCAGTACGAGTATGTGCTTGAGGACGTACCCACGAGCTAGGGCTCAGGGTATTTCCCACAGTACAGAGATCTGCTCAGGCCACACTGGCCTCCTGAGAGGGGTGCGACGCTGTTACTATTAAGGATTTGTACACTGAGGTAGTGCATGATTCACACAATACGAGCTCATTTGTTGAAGAGAGTTGGGGTGATACAGAGGAGCAGGATCTAGATATAGGTCTCTTTGGATTGAGGTTGTTCTGGAGGCAAAAATCTGTATAGAGTATCCAATATCTGCCAATGTGTAGTCCCACGAATAGCTGAGCATCTGAGTTGCCTCTCCAACATGGTCCTCTTCCGTGTAGAGTGTGGATATACAGCACCCATTCCGTCGATAGGAAAAATAATAAGTCAGCACATCTGTGTTACGAATGACTCCAGGAGGACCTGTAGATCCTCAATATAATAGCTGTTGGGTCTTTGGAGAGTGGAGTACAGTTGTGGTGCATGACTGGCAGCTTCGCTTCTTGCAAAAGACTGTCCAAATGGAAACACTGACGCCAAGAGTTTCCTGTATGTAATATGTTTTGTTGTTGGGTTTTTGGGTCTTGATTATAGAGCCACTTGATGTACTGTACCGTATTGTTAAGTATAACACTGTATCAACGTTACTGCGTATGGTTGATGTGGTCGACGATGCTGATCTCTATAGTAGGGTTTCTAAAGACGCGGTGCTAATGATGGTTAGATCGATCGAGTTGCACTATAATTGGGGAAGGTCTTATCGCGTTCAAAATGGCAAAGGAGCGGCTCGATCGAATTCTCTCTGGGATGCCGATGGTGCACTTGCACTTTCCGCTAATTTGCCCATGCCTTCCTGGTTATTCCTCCATGCACCCCCATTCCCTGTCCCCCTTTTTTGCCCTGCGTTGCGTTCTCATTGCTCTCCATCGTACGTCCCACCACATACAGCCACAACCACGAACGAGCCAATGTTAGCCGTAGCCTCGCCCCCTCGCTCCTTAAGTATCTATTAGTATTTATTCTTCATAAGCTAGCTAGCTACTGGTACTACCGCAGCGCAGAGCGCAGCACCCTCTCTACCGACTGACCTTCTAACCCCTTTGCTTAATAAAAAAAATAGATTGAGATCGATTCGATTATCATTCGATGACATTCAGAACATCGTATGCAATGTGTGCACGGATCGCCATCGCCGCTTAGGCTAGGTTGCCCTGCAAGGCGAATTCAAAAAGGATTCGCCGAAGATCCTGTGTGGAGGCACACGGACACATCTATTTTGCAGCAGCCCTCCGATACTTCTATTTTTGTTTCTGGCTTTCTAATATTATAGTAGACAGTCCTCTGTCTGCTCTGCTCTGCTCTGCTCTGCCATGTCGGAATCAGCGCCCTCTACAACCACTCCTGCTGCATCTGAAGCAGCAACAGGAGGAGGAGAGAAGTGCGCTAACTGGGCAACCGGCTGGAAAATCGTTCGTGAATTCGGTGCAAAAAGGGATTTCTAGCAAACAAGAAGAGCTCAAAGCGACACGCGAGGCGAAAGACGCGGGTAAAATTTATGACTATGAGACGAAGGAATGGAAATTTTACTATATTGAAGACGAATGGAAAGCTTTGGAGAGAAAGGCGGGTGAATTTGGCGCCACGCCTTCTACTTCTACAGTACGATAATAAAAGACGATCCCGTCAAAGGATCGCAAGTATTAAATATGGAACTATACAATGGACCAAGAAATAATCAGGATACTAAGCGCCGCAATGCATACGAACAAGAATCCGACGTCGAAAGCCGCTAAAGATTTCAACAATTGGTTATGCTATTGACAGTGCTGCCGCAATGACGAGTCCGCGTAGTAGACAAGGCACGGACGCAAGATGCATGCGCGAACCAAACGACAGGACTTTTGTTTTACAATGTCATGTTGGATCCGACTAGTGAATCGTGGATGGGAGAAATTGATGGATTGCTCAACACCGCCGAAGCCATAGTGACGGATGCATGGAGGAATTCAGAGTCTGGAAACTCAAATATCGGTGACGCAGAAAGCAGATTGGCCGGAAAAGACGAAGCGAGAACTCATGGAAAAAATGAGGATGAAGCAAAATGAATGCACAGAAAAAACGACAAGTCAAAATTGCACTAAATCTCAAACAACGTCTGGCGTCGTATTCCGAATCGACCAAGGCCGATTTTATCATTGAAGCAAGACAAGAAGCGGAAAAGATTGCCGGCGGTGCGTACGGGAGTCTCTACTGTATCACGATTGGATACGCCCTCTTGCTGCAGGCGGAAGAATTCCTCGGCAATGAAACGACACTCTTTGGATTGGGAGGATTTGCGGCAAGGACCAAACAGTCGACCAGTGCGCTTGGAACCAATTTCAAACTCATTGGAGCCGCCTTTAGTGCCGCCACGCATGGAGCCCGGGCCATGCAAGAAGCTGAAAACTTGCAAAAGGCCACCATGGATAAAACAAAGGAGGGCGGTGACGGCACCGATGCCGCCAAGACAAAAAAGGACAAGGACTGGAGACGACGACAAGCAAGCGACGCGCGATTGAGAGTCGGCGAAAATTGCCGAAACCGTGATGCAACGTCCCGCACATTCCAATTTACTGAGACATATACAACGCGACATCACCCTGCGGAAGTCTGTCAAATCTTTCCCCAGGATGCTCACTGTCTGTATCAACCAGCACAGGGTTGTGGAAAATACAACTCAGCAGAAATCAGGAATGATTTCTGATTCTACCCAACTTGACGTCTTTGCCATTTTTGGAGAACGAGTCAAAAAGATTGGTCATTTGCTGGCCATGATGGCTCCCTGGAAAGCACCCATCTACATCACTCGAGTCTGGCGCATTTTCGAGATCTTTAAGGCTCATACCTCAGATGTGTGCAAGGTGGATATTGTAATGCCACCTAGGGAAAAGCAATCTCTAGAGCAGGATGTTCTTGATAATGAAGGAGGCATCAATTCTCTGTATGAGGCTCTGGGCAACACCCAAGTTCAAAATGCCAAGTCCTCGGTTGAGAGTGACAGGCTGGCTATTCTCAGCCAAGTAGAATCAAATGTTGGATACCCTGTACTCAACAATTGGGTCAATGACTCGTTGCGTGAATGGATGCTAGGAGTCTTGACTCAGCTGGTTTCCACCAGAGAAAACACAAATGATGAAGATTATGCGAATTTTTGTAACAAAGTTGGGTCTATACTTTTGGCAAATGGAGAACATGATGCAGCCATGAAACTCCACCACACTGCTCTGGATATTTGTGTGTCTGTGTTAGGTGAGAATCACAGAGAAACCGCAGACAGTTACGGCAATATTGGTTCTGTTTTGAATGAGATGGGTGACTATGAAGATGCTTTGACAAAGCACAAGGAAGCTCTTGCTATTAGACTGTCTGCATTGGGCAAGAATCATCTTGAAGTGGCAAAAACCCATAACAACATTGGTTCTGTGCTGAACAGTATTGGTGACTATGAAGGTGCTTTGGCAAAGCACAAGGAAGCTCTTGCCATTCAACTGTCAGCATTGAGCAACAATCATCCCGATGTGGCAACCACATACAATGGTATTGGTGATGTTCTGGAAAGTATGAGTGACTATGACA